ATTTCTGAGGAAGCTCCAGTTATTCAATTCAGTACACCTCCTTTCACGATTCAATTGCAGGACGAAAATTTAATTCATGAGGAAGAAGATGTTCGGTCTGTTCAGGACCAGGTCAAATCGTCTGATTCTGATGTGAACTTTGATGTGGGTTTTCACCATGAAGTAGAAGAGAAGCTGATTTCTTCACATTATTCTGAGGAAAAATCAATTTCTCGATCTGATGACGAACTGGCTTTCACAGATAAACCAATGAATGAACCGCCTTTCAACCATTGTAATGAAGTGCAGGTAAGTCAAACTCTCTGATTTCGACTGGCTCTCACTTGCATTTTTAATTAGACAATAATTTAACAGTGCAGTCAACCACTACATAATTAGATTGTGAAATATAAAAAAGCGAAACCGTAATTTGTAAAGATAAACATGATATAGTCCTGCTGTGAAAATACTTCTTTGACATTTCGTCATCCAAGGATTGGGATCAGTTATTCATATACTGTACATATTCTGCATCTCCTAGTACATGAATATTAGTATATCTGCCTTTTTTCCTTGACTTTTTATCCAATTATCTTTTCTTATGTTCATGACTTTCTCCAAACTACTTGCATTTAATGCATAGCGTGTTTGCAATCTGCATGTTAGGATACACTTTCCTATATTAGTTGAACGTATTCAATTGCACTATCAGCACATGTTGACAATGAGTTTTGAGAAACAGGACATGCAAATCATATATACATTGCGGCTATGCATTGGAAAGCCCACCCTCAATTTGCAAGCGACAATCATCCTGGGGGATGCTTAATAGACTTGCGAAAATTGAATAAAGCTCCTACCCTGCCTCCATAAACCAACCCAACCCAACCCAGAAAAGGTGGAAAATGAATTGACAGTTGACTCTGATTTTGAAGATGCCTAGTATAAAGGTAATGATGCTGGAAAATATCATTGATTGGATTTAGTGGTCAAGAGAATTAAAAATGTCCAGACTCTAGGACTAACTAGTCTTGCCAATGGCTTTCGGTTTCAGAAACACAGGTTTAAAGGGCGTGTACAAACCTTACTGGGGACATGAGCAATAACCATCTGCAATGACTTCATTTTATTGTAAATTTGGGTTTCTTGAACTAAGCTTGAGCTATATACAGGAGTAGTTTTGGGGTCTTCATTCTGGAATGGCATTGTCCTTAAAATGACTTAAGTACGAACAATTGACAATTCTGACCTCCTTTACTTTAGCTTCCTTGAGTTTAGTGCCACATTATCGTATTCCTGTAATCTTTGTGGGTACGTATTTTTTAATGGCAATGCTTAAAACTTTGTTCTTTAGATCCCATGTTCTTCTGGAGGAACGTGTAGGTGGATGCAATCAAAGAACAGATTGTGATGGAGCCTTGATGAAATCAAAGAAGAATATTAGATTGGTGAGAGAGAATATATGATATTGGCCATGCATTGTGTTATGGGTAGTATCATGCTCCAAAATTCTTGACAGAAGTGCAAGGGAGTTTCTTGTGGTTGTAAAGCTACGAAATTATTCGACTTCAGTTTTAGCTCTTCTGGTTCAGTTTTGTTAATGGAAGAAAAATGAAAATGTGTGGGGCTCTATTAGAGCTTAGTTACTTCTCTTTATAGTAAACCATTTAATGATAGTTCGAATTGATTTGGTATATAAATTGAAAGAGAAGATGCCCAGACATAGCATGCAGAGGAATTTTGAATATTTAAGGTGCTGTCACAGGGAAGAAATGAGGATTGAGGAAAAGAGGCATTGTCGTTGCCACTAGGGTGATGCGATCAGCCACATAACAGAACTTATGATTCAGTAGTGCAACAAGCTCAACTGCGTAAATTCATCAATTTGTTGTCCATTTGAGTCTGACTTCAAGATTAATGAACTCTAATATTTCACTACTAGATTTCTGCATATTTCCAGGAAAATAAAATTACCTCAGCATGGGAATATAAAGTCCCAGTCCCTTATAGAATAGTTGTTAATAATTTTATAGCATCAGTCATGGTAATTCTCATATGGATAATGTTGTAACTTATATTATCATGATTGAACTCTGGACCTTGTAAAGACAACTATGTGAGCCCGTTATGCACATGTGGATTTGTGCTTTCTAGTTCATATGTTTTATATTCCTGGGACACCGGTTCACAGTTACTTTATGGACACGCATATTTTGCTAGCAGGAAACTTATGGATATTTTTAAGAATAACAATATTTACTAGATGTAGTAGCAAAATCTCTACTTAATAATTTCTTTCCACATTTTATCTGACAGTCAATCAACAGGTTTAACTTAAAAGAACGACATTTTGGTTTGAACTATGGTAGAAAGAGGGAGACATGAGTAGTTTATTTTGATGATTATACTTGAAGAAATTAATTAGTGTTTCAGTCTCTGCTCTGGTATTTATCATGACATTTTTTTTACTGTTTCCAGTGCCATTCCACTCTATTTATGTATTATGGTTGTACATGACATTTCTGCCGTTTCCTAGTGCCATTTTAGTCTATTTACATGTTATTTCTGTATTTGACAGTACATTGCATGTGTCTATATACATACTTGTCCACACATGCATGCATGGTCATACTAGGCTGTAGGGAAGAACTAATGATCTTGTCTGATATGATATAGGAAGCACCTAATACCATGTTCGAGTCAATTCCAAGAACTAATGACAGGTTGAACATCCCAGATGTCAAAAAACTTGATTCTGAAGTTCTGTCTGACCTCAACTCTACATCGAGACCAGAATTTATCTTGATTCCATTAGATGATGAAAATAAAACCCCTGCAAGTTTATCGAATTCGAACATGTTCACCAGGGGTGAAGTTGGAAATGGTGATCCAATTTCAAAATTAGATATTCCAGCGGAAGCAATTAGGTCCCATGTTGGCGAATATATTATGGTTGAAACTACAGATGAGATCAAGGAAATTGATGGACTATTGTCAGAGTTGGATACGGTTGGTGATTTTAATGTCAACAAATGTCAACCATGCCTCGACAAATTTGAAAAACATGTGGATTCTTATGAAGAAAGCTTGTCTTCACCACATGAGGCTACCAATGCAATTGAACTTGTTGGTTCATCAAATGGAGGATTTGCAGGAAGAGATACCCAGGACTCTACTGACCTTAAGGAAATCGAGCACAATTTGAATTCCAAAGAAAATAATTCTTGTATGCATATAGTTGAAACGCGAGCCGTAGAAATTGAATCTATCTTCAAGGAGTACAAATTAAAATCCGTGGAAACTGATGTCGTGGATGTAGAGTCTGTGATACTGCATCGAGATCTAGTTGATGTAGATGCCGATACTGTAATGCCGGAACTTGAAGCACAAACACTTCAAGATATTAGCTTGGAATTTAAGAAAATCAGCGAGAGAGAAATCGAGAATCCTATTGATGTTGAGCCACCCCATGCTGAGCTGGTAATGGAGGAAACTAAAGTTGAAGCACCAGTTCTTGAAGTTCTATCGACTAAAGATTCCATTTCGGTTCCTTCTCAAGTCCATGATAGTATTGTAAAGACACATACCCCGCCTGATTCAGTTCATGATGCTCTACATGAGCTAGAGTCCATAGACATACAAGGACGCCCTTCAGAATTGCATGCTGTGGAACCCATACCTTCAGAAGATGTTAATTTGGTCCCAAAGAAAGTCGATGGTAATCTAGATAAAATTCTGAAGCTAAATTCGGAGGATGGATTGGCTGAAGTGAGGGCGTGTGATGTTAGTTTGTCCAACCAGGATGCGGAATCAAGTATTAAAGAAGATGGTGTAAAAGAAGTAAGCACATTTTCTGCTGAGGAGCCTGACCGTGAAGTTGGAACACCTAAAGACACAAGCTCAACTACATTTCTTACAGACAAGAGGAAGAATCCCCAAAAGTTGAGCTCAAGTTCAAGCTCGTGTTCTGACTCAAGTTCTAGTGATTCTGAAAGAGAGTAAGCGAAGAAGACTGGGAAGAAAATGGTGTTCCGTGTCCTCTTTTGTGCTTTTCATTGGGAAAAGGGACATGCAGTCATCTAATTTTGTTGCTCATTATGTTTTCCTTTAATGGCGTTGGGTTTTTGTTCTTGTTGAAATGGTGACTTCCTTCAAGAGTGTGTTTCTATTTATTTCTTGGAGTTTTCCTCATGGTGAGATTTTCCTTCTTCAGGTCGTGTTTGCTTTTCTTCTGTGGGCGGTTTTGAGGCTTGTTTTGACCTCACATTGATGTATATTGCATTTTTGAACATAAACGTACTATTCGAGCAGTGTTCTTAAAATATGTCGAGACCCTTATTTTAGTTCGTGAACGTCTCTAGCATACTGTATTTATGATGTAAAAGTTACATACAATTAGAGCGAGTTTCCTGTTGAATATGTGCAGAAAATACTTCTGTGAATGCCATTCATTTGCAAAAATTGCATTTCTTTCTTTCTGAACAAGGAAATTTACCGGGTAGTTTCTCTTCCGTCAAGTCGATACCTAATTTTTTTTGAATGAATGAATCACCTTGCACTTCATTTATATCTTCCCAAAGAATTTGTTGTGGGTTTCAAGAACATATTGTTGTGCCTGCTACAAAGGCGGGAACTCTCTTATTGTAATTCAGTAGAATGATCTTATATGCACACGTGATAAAACTATCAACCAAAATCATGACATTTCAAACTTCGAACCACTCAAGTCACGATACCTAGAATGCTAAATAGGTTCCCCTGCCCACTTTGTCTCTCCTCTCCAATCGGTGTCAAAAGTGTCATGACATGTTCGGTATTTAATTTGAGTGGACGATCATACCATATTTTCATATAGAATTGTCCAAATGAAGTCTTTCTCTGGTTAATTGCTCAGTAAATTGCCAAGAAACTCGAGAGATTGTATGCGGGCCTATTTGTATTTGAACTATTGTTCACAAGTAATATCTTTTAGTCACACTGTTCATGGAATTTGTCAACGGCAATAGTAGTACTTCATGAAATGAAGAAAAATATAAAATATATAGCACATGGAAATGGAAATTACAGTATCTGATGAGGGCAGCATGAAAATTTTTCCATAAATAATCACGATTAATAGTAAATAACAACCTACAGTGACAATTATTCATACAATATGCGTCTTAAGGTACAACATGTGACTTAATATATAAGAAGAAACACACCGTTTAGAACAACATGAAATAGGTGCAAATTTCTGCATCTATTCACAGTTTTCTTACGAGCAGTTTGTATCATAACCGGCGAGTCCTTGCAACTCAGGTCCCTCCAGACGAGGATTGTTTTCAAAGCTGCAAGTAGAGAAAACAATGGTGACTCGGCATCAAACCATGGAAGTGGTAATTAAAATAACACATATGTTAAAGAAGATTAATGGATGAAGACAAAGAAGGTGCAAAAAAAGCTACATCTAGACATGAGTCCTTATACAGATTCTAAGAACAGAAGCTATCCACAGAGGTTAGTGCGGTAAACTAGTAAAGATAACAGTGACTTATAAACATAACCGGACAACCAGAAAAACAAATGAATGAAATAATTAGTAAATATGAAAATAATCAAAACAAATATTTAAAAGATGACATAGAGAAAATATCATACTTCTCCAATGGGATGTGCTCAAATGGACCGGTTGTAGGGATTGGACCACACAAATTGTTATTTGAGACATCACTGTAAACAAAAATTGAAACATTAGCATTAAGCCCTAAACAAAGTACGAATAGTTGAAACTCGAATCATAAGCACTTACACAACTTTCAAGCTTGAAATACCAACAAGTGTCCTTGGAATTGGCCCGGTCAGCTTATTGTCATTAAGACGCCTGTCAAAGAAGACCAAGGGATATTAACTTTGAATCAAATGCTTAGTTTTCAAATGGTGGTCACCCAAGATAATGACTACAGTGACAGAGATTTAAGCTCATAATTCTTGAAGTGGTTCAATAAAGAGCAAAGTTCCGATAATGACATATGGATCGGATAAATGGTTGAATGCGATGAGCTCAAACTTACAAGAAGACGAGAGATTTCAAATTTCCCAATGAAGGAGGGATTGTTCCCGAGATATTGTTGTTGTACAGATCCAAACTTATTAAGTTCTTCAAGTTACCAAGCTCAGCTGGAATTTTCCCTTGAATGTTATTTTTGTAAAGTTCCCTGAAAGATGACAGCTTATTTTAAGTTCGTGTATACAACAGCTAACAGGAAAAAAATGAAAAATGAAAAGAAAAACAATTTTGCATAAAAATGCATTGACATATATGGAACCAGCCATGTATCATGGAACATATTCTTTGTATAAGAAAATTTTAATTTACTTAGCTAAAAAGATCTCCTAATGGGAAAATTAATATGGAAGGGATGTATAGTACTTACAGATACTGCAGATGTTCGAGTTTTCCAAGTTCGGGTACCAGATGACCAGACAAATTTGAGTTGCCAAGGTCCCTGCAGAAAATCACACCACAATAACATATTTGGGGGATGTATTATCATCACAAAATAAAAGATAAGTAAGGTTCAGATACAAGGTGAAACCAAGAAAACGTAAAGCATTAAAATGAAAGCTGAATTAAAAACTTTAATAGTTAGAAAGTGAAAAAATGACTCACTAATTTCATTTAGCCCCAAAACATCATTTAAGAAGGAGCAAGTCATAATATTTCAGAAAATGTTCTCTCAGTGTTGAACAGTGACAGGCTAAGACATCTCATATCAAACATTGGTTCGATCTCTTGTAACTATACGAAAAGTTATGTTTGTCATATATGAGATATTACATATATCATTTTCCTTTCATCTCCACTTCACATGATAAGTGCTAAAATACAGATATATTAGTTCTCAAAACCAAATGAGAATGTCCAAGATTAAAGAAACAGTAGATCATAATCAAACAAGCAAAACTATCTTGGTAATCCTACAGTGAATAGCAAGCACAACGAAACATGAAACAAAACTTCAATTATGACAAAATGTGCAAAACTATGGCACCCATGCTACGGCGTGGCAACTCATTCTTATTTGAGCAAGTGAAGATTAGAAATTGACACAATGACATCAAATTCTCCCCTTGTTATTTCAAATTTGATTTTTCTTGCTCTCAGCTTTAACCGTGAATCCCTCTAATATATCGTCAAGAGAGTGCATCCCAAATCAAAATTCTGCAGCTAACCGAACTTTTGAACAGATTTTGCCGAAAATCAACTGGAATAGAGGATTAAAGATTCACCAGCATTTGAAGTTGCACTCCAAGTGGGAAAATATTAACACCAAATTTCTCAAAAAGACCATTCATAAGCATAGAAATGTCAATTGAACTAAAAAAGATTAAAAATCTGAAAAAGATTACAGCTTTGCTTTGAATTCCACGAAAGCAATACCTAACCATACTTAATCACATACAAAAGATAACTGATAATTCTATTCCAAAACCAACACATACATACCCAAAATATATACACATACAGATAGATAAACAAATATATATATTCACGTACAGGCGAGTGACTTGGCTGTCTTGGTTGCAGGTAACGTGAAACCAGGTGCAAGGGTTAACGAGGTTCGGATCCCAGCTCTGAAGCACGTTATCCGGGTCCGACAGGGTCCGTCGCAGCACGTAAAGCGCGTCGCCTTCGGAATTCCCACGCGCCGTCAGCGCCATTAGTGATGAAGAAATTACAGTTACTGCCACAAACAAAAGCAAATCCCTCACAGCCATGGCTCCGATTGAACTAACACTTTTATTGTAAATTCCGATGGAGAAGGGGAATTGGGTTTTGATTTATACGGTCAAGTGTTTTACAGTGAGATAAATTATTATTGGAGAATCGATGTTGGGAATGGGAGAGATGTAAAATGGAATCTTATAGTCAAAACAACAGTGGGCAAGAAAGAAGTGGGACCCATTAAAAGGGTAGTTTGGGGATTTTACTACGAGGAAGAGACGACTCATTAGTCAACCGGAAGACTCAGCGAAACCGCGTTAACTAATGGAAGGGAGAAAATGATGGAAGTGGGACCATTCAAATAT